TTGTACAGTTCTGTAACTGTACAGTTTGTACAGTTAATGTTCAGTAGCAGAACATTGTTCCCAAGTGTCAGGACAACAAGGTTTGTGTTACCTCACTCTGCCTTTGGAAGGCATGTTACTTCATGTTAGCATGTAACAGGAATGTTACTTCATTTAATAATTCAGCCATGAACTAGGTACCAGCCAAACAGCAAAGGTTTTTAGCTTTTGTCTCTGTTGCTTTTACCCTGATAATTCAATACAGCACTTTGTTTTTCAGACTAGTTTGATGAGTGCTGCAGTTCAGCCCAGGTTTTTTTGCAGCATTAGTAGGGAAGTATCTCCAGGTTCTTGGAGGAAAAATATGGCAGAAACAGCTGTGGTATTCCAAAATTTGAATCTACCTTCTTGGGTTTTTCTTAACTTTCAGGAGAGGAGATTTTTTCTTCTTCAGGGGTCTACTTGGCAGGAGTTCATGGGAGGCTCTCCTGGCAGGTAAAGGTGCTGATCTTCCAGGACAGCCAGATCCAAGCAGGTGTAGTCCTTCCAACATGCAAGAAGACAAACAAATGGTGGGAGGCAAACGAGCGTGAGCATGGAACTGTTGTTTGAGCTCAAACACAAGCAGGAAGCATCAGGAAGGTGGGAGTGGTATGAATGGCCAAGAGCAGTACAGAAATGTTGCCTGGGGAAAGCAGGATGCAGGCAGGAAATCTAGAGCTCAGCTGGAGTGAGGGATGTGAAGAGCGCCCAAAGCAGCTTCTGAAAGTGCATTGGTGCAAGAGGGAGGCTAAGAAAAATTTGGGTGCTCTGAGCACCTTTTGACCAAAGACATGGTGGAGCCAGAGGTATTTGTGAGCTTTTCTGGCCTTGTTTTTAGCTGAATAAACTAATGCTTGTTTTCCACTGGCAAAACCAGGAAGTTGTACTTATGCCCCTCAGTGAGGGATGAGTGAATGGGAAGAGCTGTCTGATTTGCATTCTGACGTGGGGAGTGACATCAGCTGAAACCCGTGCTGTGGGTCATACCTGCAGCCTGCTCCGAGCCAGGCACGCACAGGCAGAGCAGCCCACCAGGGAAGGAGCTGCCACGTGGAGCATGAGGTATGGGAGGTTAGTATGTCATTTATGCTGGGCGAGGAAGAGCAAGTTTGTCTATTGTGCAGCATTTATTTGCAGTTTCAAATATTTGATTGGGCATTTTAGGGTTTTTCTGGAGCAGAGCTTTCCCAAAAGATGGCGTACATGAAAATTTTGGCCTTTGAACAGAGCGGCACATGACTTGGAAAATGAATTTATTCTTCTGTAAACAGCAGACACGAAATAATTTGGTAGGAAATGTGAGCTGGTAGATATAAGTGAGGAGAATATCCAAAAGCTAGGAAGTTGAGGGTAACTGGATATTGGTGGAGAAACGAGGCTGCACAAATAATTTCAAATTTTCAATTATCTTCCGAAAAAGAGGATATGGAAAACGGAGTCTGGGTGAGGAGGGTGAGCCTGAAGAACAGTGTTGGTGATTACAAAGGTAAGGAAGTTGTGGTTTCATTTCTCTTGCTACTGGTCAGAGTTGAAACATCTTATTTCATTCAAAAACAAATGGAGGTTCTGCCAGAAGCTGTAGTATGAGGGGAAAAGGTGTGTAGAGTCACAAGAGAAAGAGATAAGAAGGCAGGTAACTAGAGAAATAAAGCAGAATTATCTGCAGGTAAAAAGAGATTAATACCAAAACCTGTACGTGTGATTGGAGATTCTGCATCAGTTATGGCCAGAGCAAGCAGGCTTGTAAAAATCTGCAAAAGAAGTTCAAAGAAATGGATGTGTAGAGGGTGATGGGTTCTGTAGGAATGTTACTTTGACAGGGTGAGGAAGCATGCTAGGAGAGCTAAGTTCAATAAACAGTTCATGGACTGGCTCTATATGGAAAGGTTTAAATATTTTTTCATTACCATGGGAGGACCTTCTTAGGCATTTTTCTTAATTGATAAATCTCAGCTGAGTCCCTTGGACATTGTCCATCCATGCTTAAATTTACATTATAAGAAAAGCCTTAAAATGGTGAAGAACCAAGAGAAACACAGTTAAAAAGGGGATCTTGGGCAGGGGAAATGTTGTTTTGAGTAAGACGATATCTGAAAGCAGGTATGACTCCAGGATGGCTAACAGAGATGAGGAAATGGAAATGAACATATCAAAACTGGCGTGAAATTTGAAAAGCTTTAATGTATTCCCTTCAGGCAGGTGACTCTAACTAGCTAATCTCCATCTCAGTATGCTGAAAATAATGATACATGTAATTTAAGAATTTTGGAGCAAAGATTTTTTTATCCATAAATTTTACCAAATTATTAGTGATTTTTAAATCTATAAATTTTACCAAGTCTTGATATATATTAGAAGAAATGTAAAAAAGATTTTACCAAAAAAAAAGTGCAAAAATTATCCTAGAAATACAACTATACTATAAAATACTATAATACCAGTATTGTGATCATTAGTGTGAAAGTTTAAAAAAAGAAAAATCCTTGGAGATGGAGATTAAGATATTAAATATAATATGGGTGTTCAAAAGATAGCCTGTGCTGTTAGTCAGAGCTTTATTTCTTAAAATAATTTATTTCTGCCTAAAAGAGACAGTAATTTTCATGTCTACACTAGTAACTTCTCTTGGGTAGCTCTAACAAGTAGTTTATCAGGAGACATCAGGATTGTGGGAAATATCAAACAAGAAACTGCCTAGAAAAGCTACCAGGAGAGAATTTACTTATGGAGTTCTTGGCTAATTGATTTCTTAGTAAAATGAGTTAAAGGTTGAAATGCATAATAGGCAATGGAAACTCAAATTTAGGCAATATGGACCAGAGTAGGGCAGGAACACAATGGCTCTTCCAGTCTGAAATAACAGGAACCTTTAGAACTCTATGGAGGACTTTGTTTCTCAGCCCCAGTTTCTCGGGAGGATAGAGCAACCCTCCCCATTTTGGTCTCCAGCATATCAAGACTGAGGAGGCATTTTTGGTTTTCTTTAGCCTTAACCCCATGGAAAAACAAAGCAACTTGACTGGAGAAGCAGCATAACCGCATCCCTGTGGTGGTGTGCTCCCCATTAACTAGGGATTTCCCCGTGGCAGTGCTGTGCTGCAGGGATGATTGCATCCTGGGAAAACTGGCCCTACCAGGAAGGCTGCTGCAGGAATCCCTGCGCTGCTCCGGCAGCCAGGCCATTAACACGATGCTGTACTTAAACTAATGAGACTTGGCTGACCTAAATGGCTTGGCCCAGAGCCACTGCAGGGGTGTTTGTACCTTTGGCATGGCTCACCCACAAACCTGTATAATCCACCTGCAGACAATGGACCGTGCCTGCTGTAATCGAGCCCTCGAAGGCCTCTGTACCCAGTTCTTTCCAAGATGTGTAAGCTGTTTCTGTTTCATCTCCACCCTTATCTGCTGTATTCACACTTGTAAATTTACATGAATATTTGTGTACCTATATACTAATGTTTTGCTTGGGAATGGAGTCTGTAAGTGAAGCAAGAGAGTAACTCTTTGAAGATGTAAGCAACAGTTAACATTGCCTGGGTAAACCTGCTTAGCCATTTTACCTGTGAGACAAGCAGTAACCTCTTTAGCTGGATGCCCTGCTTCTTCTCAAACAGTTCTGCTTCAAAACCAAGACCAAGCATAGAGCTGGCCCTGCAGGGTTAAGTGCAGTGGTGTTGTGTGCTCAGGGTGGGGACCCTGCTGTGCTGCTCTGCTGCAGGCGCTGCGGATACAGAAATTCCTGCTGTCCTTGGAGCAGCTCAGCAAGCCCAACAGCAGAGACCTTTGTCATGCTGAGGATTCACATGAAACCACCATGTTCACACAAAAACAAAAAAACAAGCAACACCAGGAAAGGCAAGATTCAACAAAGTAAATACAGTGGATGGGGCCCTGGGCTGCAGAGTCGAGTTGCTTCAGGAGCTTCTGGCTGTGCCACTCAGAGGAGCTCAGTGAAGTCCACTTTGCCAGACTCCTCTTGGTGCTCCATGGGCTCGGGAAGTGCTGAAGCCTTGTCCTCCCTCACCCCACGGTGTAGCTGTGATACTTCTCTGATTTTGATTTCATCCTTACATGTACCTTTCTACAACCAACCTAAAGCTGTTCTTTCAGCATTTACTATTTTGTTGGCTGTTTGTGAAGTCCTGATGTTGCTCTGTCCAGTGTTTCCCACTGTCATTTGTTGTCTCTGTTCTTGCTGAGCTCTGTGTGAGGGGGTGTCTTCTCAGTCAGACCTGTGTTCAGAGCTGAAGGGCTTGGTTCTGCATGTTACAAAGCTACAGTGCAGGATAGATGCTCTGTGAGGTGTAAAGAACCTCTGAGAAAGAAATGGGCCTCTTACACTTTTCTGTGGGTGCTCAAAGGGCCTTTTAGACACACCATTGTCTTCAGCTTTCCAGCAGCCTTGACTTGAGAACTTGACCTGTATAAATTGCAAAAGATATGTGTTGCTTCATGTAGTACCCTGTTCTGTATTTTTGGGGGTTTTTTTTTGTATTTTTTGTTCTGTATTTTCTGCAATATGTAAAGACTGCTGCAAAGATGAAGAAATATTCCATGAGGGTGATCCTGACTATCTGTGTTTTGCACATGAGAGTCAATTAGGTGCTGGCTATTTGCTTCCTTAGGCCACTGAATCTATATATCCCCCCTAGGCAGACTGGACCTCTATTTTGTATTCTCCCACAGAGAGTCCCCAGTGGAGTTCAGCTGCTGTTCTCTACCAAGTGTGGTTGTGTGTTGTTGCCAGATATATGCAGTTCTGGAGGGAGGATGTGGGATTGTGCAGCTGCAAGGCTGGCTGTGATGGCAGCTTTCCTCAGCATGCCATCTGAGGAAAAGAAGTCTGCACAGTGGGAAGACCTTCTGAAGAAATGTTTTTTGAAGAGCTGAACCAACGAGGAAGTGTAATTTCTTCCTGGAGTTCTCCTAGGTATTCCTAATGCTTTTCCCAACTAGAGCTGAGATTTTTAACAGCTGAGAAAGTTTACCAACATTTTGAGTTTCAATGCCTGTGAAGTTGTTGCAATTCAGGCACCTCACTTTGGTTATCTGGCTCTTCAGGCTGGTATCCAGTACTGTCTGAAGGGCACACGTTGTTTTGGTGTGGTGTCACCTTGCTTCATGCTGACAAGATGTTGAATTCGTCGTAGGCTAAGCCCATATACAGTTTGCTTCTACACAAACACATTCTTCTCTAAAAATGTAGACTTTTATGGAGAAAGCTGGGTTTACACAGTCTATAGGAAGTCTGGGGACATTCTGAAAAAATGGTTCACCAAGGCTTGGGGGTTCAGCACAGCTGCCCTGTCCCATGGGCACAGGGCTGTGTCCCCCAAGTGGAGCTGTACTCGTGGGTAGCATGTTTACTGAGTAGTCTGAAAAGATTTTCCTGGCAGGTGTGTGTGTGTGCTTCAGCTAGCTCTGTCACCAGTGAGCTGTCACCAGCCTCCATAGCTCTGGCTTCAGGTGCTTCTGCTGGAGCACTAAAGGCACAGGAAGGGAACTGTCCTGAAGGATCCTGCAGCCCTGCCAGAGGAGCAGTGGTTGGTGGCAAATGTTCCCACCTCCAAACAGCCTTGGTGGGGACAGGTAGGTTATACTCTAGGCCCCTGAGAGCTGTAGAGACTCAAGATTTGGCAGGCAATTCAAAAACTGTTGCGTCCTGCTTGTCAGGCTCTTAAAACAGGATTTGAAGAATCTATAAACCCTGTTTATCTCCATGTGCCAATGGTTTTTGACCAGGCATTATCTGGAAGAAGAACTAGAAGAAGGAATGGAGAGCAGCGTGGAAGTGGTATCAAAAGTGCAGTTTCCAGAGGCCCAGAAGTTACACCAGAAAGAAAATACTGTTAATTATTGTCAAACTGAACTCTAGTAAAAGACCTGGATGTTTTTTTTCAGTGCTAGTGAAGTCATACTTCCACTTCTTTTGGTTGCAGTTCTTCAGTATGTAAGGTTCTTGATTTTTAGGAGGATTTTTATGCTGTGGGTTTTACTATGAAAAGCTGAAGTCAGGCAGTGCATGGTGGAGGAGAAGACTGCATTTTTCATAAGATGGTTTTCCTTTTTCTTTGAGAAAAAGGGAAATGTTTTCCTGCTTTCTATATATGATATATAAATTCTCTATATATTTTTCTATAAGTGATTAGAAAGTTTGCATCCTCTTACTATCAATTACACAAATATTTTCAGTCAGTTTTGTCCTCAAACTGAATTGGATGTGCATGTGCCAGGAGAAATGAGTCAAATTTAAAGAAATAGCATCCTGTTCTTCCCTGTTGTAGTCCGATCAAAAGACACATTGAGGGGAATAGTGAAGTCCAAATCAAGAAAAGGTGTTACATTTCCTTCCAGTGCCTGAAGGGAGCCTACAAGAAAGATGGGAGAGATACTTTTTAAACGGGCTTGGAGGGACAGGACACAGAGGAATGCCTTCAAACTGGAAGACAGTAGATTTAGATTAGATATTAGGAAGAAATTCTTCCCCATGAGTGTGATGAGGCCCTGGCACAGGGTGCCCAGAGCAGCTGTGGCTGCCCCTGGATCCCTGGCAGTGCCCAAGGCCAGGCTGGACAGGGCTGGGAGCAGCCTGGGACAGTGGGAGGTGTCCCTGCCATGGCAGGGGTGGAATGAGATTCAAGGTCCTGTCTGACCCAACCCATTCTATGACTCCATAGTTGTGATTCAGAAAATACCCCTCAGACACAAAAATTGTAGAATGAGTTTAACAGAGAAATTGCATCAGAATTAAAGGTATCTTCAAAATAAAATGACTGATTAATTTTTTTTTTTTTGATAGGCAGTTCTTGCAGAAAACAGGCCAGGCCTTGGGACTGTGCTTGAAGAGAAGCTTTATAATACTTGGGCCAGACACTTAAATTTTATGCTTTTTCCCTAGTTTCCTAAGGTGGCATTTCCTGTGCACTGTTCTGATTGTCTCAATGGGCATTTCATTCCCATTTCCTTCTTCTGAGCCTGCACAGTCTGTTTGACTTCAGAGCTTGTGTTTGGGCTGTTGGTTGTTACCAGCTAAGAATGAGCAACATGTATTGGAGGGTGGTGCAGCTCATATTTCTGTATGAGGTAAAGTTATCTAGAAACAGTATTTGTGGGTTGAATTGTCACATCAACATTCTGTTCTCCATTTTGCTGCTAAATTCACTGATCATATATGTAGATTCCACATTCAAGCATAGTCTTTAAAATTACATTAAGAACCCAGCACAAAATCCACCTAGCAAAAAAATTCTTACCTGAAGTACCTTCCTTAATAACTCACAGCAGAAAGATGATTTTTTTTCTTTTATAAGGTGAAGTCTAAGTCTCAGAATAATAAGTGTAATGCACACACACACATAGAGATAATGGAATTACAATCTGTAAATAGAAACAAATAAATACAAAAGATCAAAAACTGAAAAATAAGGATATATACATAAAAAGTAGAGCAGACTTGCCACATCCCCACAATACCAAGCTGTAGAGAGGAATCTCTGAACCAGAGAAGTTTGGCACTAATACTCTCTTGAATTCTGAGGCACTTTTCTCCATTTTACCCCTGTTTTGGTTTGGTGCCAGGACTCAGCATTTCCCAAGCACATGATAAGGATCTGTGCACAGGTTATCAGCTCCCTGGGCAGTGCTGCATCCCACAGCTGCTCTGCTCCTCGGCCAGATGCCACCTCAGCAGGGGTGTAATCCTTCCTGGGCTGCCCCGGCTTGTGCTGACAGGTTTTCCTGTGTGCAGGGCTCACTTCATTCTGCTCTCTGCTCCTTCCAGGATGGCTCGCTCTCTGTATGAGTGGCTGTGGCAGCACGAGTTCTGGCTGCCCCCAGGAATCACCTGGGAGGACATGCAAGAATCTGAAGACACTCATTATCCTCAGCCTCGTCATCTCCTGCTCAGTATCCCCTTTGCTTTAATCTTGGTAGTCATTCGATGTGCCTTTGAAAGGTAAGTTATTTCATACTGTTTGTGGTTTCTTAGCTACAATAACAGCAAAATTTTTGGGTCCAAAAGCTGGCTTTGTTGTCTGTGTCAATGCGTGACTGAAGAGGTCCACAGAAACTCCATGTCACAAAGTCTGCTGACATAGATAAATTTTTCAGCTCCTTCTTTTCAGCCCTGTATACTGGCTAAAGAAGTGTGTTGAATGTAGACCACAAACCCTATCCTTAGGGTCTATTTGCAAGCATTGTGACTTCATACACATTAAAGAGATAAGTGTAGCTGAGGTTTATGTGTGTGTTTTGCTGGTTTGTGTGTGTTGCATGTTACTTGCTGTTTCTGGCTTGAGTGTGGCAGAAATCCTGTTAAGACTCCATCACACAGTTAAGTCTCCTTTATCTTGGGTGATGGGGATCTGGAGTATTGCACCTGATAGACAAACCTGGACCAGATGCACCAGACTGGGCTGAGCCCTGTGCCTCAGCATCAGCCCTGCCTGGCACAGGCTGTGGGTGGTGCTGGCCCCACGAGGGCTGGCAGTGCCCCTGCTCTCCTCTGCCAGGGACACACACATCTGTAGCTGCTTCCTCTGGCTTGAAGTTCCTACAGACCCCTCAGTGCTGGGCTGCCAGGATTTCTGCTCCTCTCATTCTGCTCCCTGATCTGCTTTTGGGGCTGCTTTTTGCAGACTCTGTGATATCACCCTCCAGTGCTGGCAGCAGAAGTTACTGTGACTCAAGGATCTTTCTGGCCAGAACCATTTGAATGTTTTACACATTACACTTCAGGACAGAAAATGTGGGCCTCATGACAAAAGTATAGCAAGAAATCCTGCAGGTGTCATTAACTCTGAGTTTAATCATTGAAGTCCTGAACTGGTGGCATTGCTTTATGAGTTTGGTCAGTATTAATGTGGTTGGTGACACATGATTTGCTGGTGGAAAACTGAGATTTACTACAGCATTAACTGTTGTTAATACTGCAGTGCAAGTCTCCTTCGTGATTTTGAATACACTTTAAAGTGTTTTTTCGATATATTCAAAACCCAGTATTCTTAGTAGCTCTCTGAAAAGGTAATAATTTGAAATCTTCTATGGTTTTAAGTTTAGAAAGAGGGGAAAAAGACAATTTAAAAAACATTTTATCATTCTTTTTTGAAAAGTGGCTGCACAACAAAATGGAAATGGACTTTCCTGTAGACTATAGAGATGTTTCTTCTGCAGATTGTCTGTGACACAAGGGTAGCTTGGAAAAACATAGAAGTTGAAATTCAGAGCTCTCCTATAAGAATTTTATCTAAAATACTGTAAATTTACTGACTGTAAGTTGGGATATTTTATTAAAACTAAATGTTTGAATAATTACTGAAATAATCATTTTAGGATGATACAAGATTGGAATTACAATCTCCTCTTTGCAAAAAATATGTTCAGTTGCATTCCATAAATTCCATGGGTTTTTTTTCCTGCACTTTCCTGGGGAAATGGGCATCTTGGTTAAATCTATTCCTGTGGAAACCCAGGTGCTCCAGGTAGCCATTAAAAGACAAGTGACTCACATTTCTTCCCTGCTGGTGCAGGGAGCTGGCTGGATTCCGTGCTCCTTCAGGTGGGCCCTGCTGGTCGGTGACACAGATGTGCTTCTGGCGTGGAGCTGGAAATTGGCCCGTGTGCCCCTGACCTTGGCCGGTTTGTGGCTCCCCAGTGCCATTCATGGCCAGGAAAAAGGAGCCAAACTCTTCCCTGTGGTGGCACCTGGCAGGACATGAAGCAATGGGCACAGACAGAAATGCACGATGCTCCATCTGCAGATACAAAAACTCTCTTCTTACTGTGACGTTGGTCAAACATGGGAACAGTTTCCCCAGAGGGGGAAGGAGTCTGCGTGGGCAGAGATGAGGACACCCAGCTGGGCATAGCCCCTATGGGCAGCCTCCTGGAGCAGCACTTGGGCTGGGTGGTCTCCAGAGGCCCCTTTCAGCATCTCTGAATCTGTGCTTCTGTGACTCTGTTTGCCTGCCTCCTGCCACACCACTCCCCGTCAATCTAAATATCTTTTTCGTCTGCTTTTAGATGCCAATGGCCAAGTAAAAAGATTTTTTTCTTTCCCATCCAAGCGCTGCCTCATCTGGGAGTGTTTCCACAGGCCTGGTCCTACTCATTAATTTTAAAGCTGTTTTGATTCACAAACTTCATTAAATAAAAGCTGCATGTCACACCCTTGAAAAAGATAACATCACAAGCCCATTTTACAGGTCCAGGAAACCTATAATCATAGCCCTATTTTACCTATGCAAATTACAAGCCGGTGTTCTGAGCTGTATTCTTGTTTGTCCTAACTCTGCAGTAATTTACTTCAGCATGACTTTTTCTCATTGTGAATCATTACTGTTTCACATCCATTTCATCCTGGAGAAGAAAGCTTCCCCTGGGAAGGTGGAGTGTGAATCCAGCCCTCAGTTTCTCCACTGCCTTATCTGTATCTTTAAACAGTGGCACTGGCCCTGTTTAAAATAATTTACACCAAGTTTGAGAATTGCAGAAGGAAATGTGTGTTTATTTCTCATTTTCTGTGTAGATAATCCTGACTGTATATCTTTGGACACCTGCTCTGCAGATTGAAATGAGTGGCTGTAACTAATAGACAGGTTTGGGTTTGGTGGATGTACTTGCACTCTGGCAATTTATTCTACCCTCAGCACCACCAGCTATTACTTGCAACTCTGCATGGGGTGCCAAGTTTTTCTCTCTCTAGATAGTTCCTGGTGGTGTCTGCTTTGGGATTTCAGACATGTTATAATGTGATTCATGTGATTTAACTGTCAGAACTCCAGGTAAATAATAAGAGGCAGGGGAAGCCTGGGAGCATTTTCTGCAATGTCTGCATCAGCCACTGTGCTGGGACCAATTGTTTAATCCGTTTTTTAGGCATTCAACTTGTAAAAGGATGGTTTTTCCTCTCCTTTGCACCGGCTGGCTGAACTGGGCCAAAATGAGCCAGCAACATCCTTCTGAGAGCCAGCGATGAGGGATGGGGTGGTGGCTGTGGGAAGGGGACCTGCGGTGTCGGGGTGGGGCCTGGGAGAGCCGAGGAGGCTGTGGCTGCAGCCCTGGGGCAGAAGAAACAGCTCATGGGTTGTGAAGCAACTCCCTGCCAGCTGGTTTGTGCTGGGGAAGGTGGGGAAAGGTGGATTCAGTGCTGAAGAGTAGAAAGCCCATTTCTGCTGCAGTGCTGAGCTGTGCCACAGTACTGGGGCAGGAGCTGGGGGAAGCAGTTAATGATGTCCTGAGAAAAGAGAGCACCTAGAACTTGGGAACCTCCCCTGTTCCTTTAGTGTTTCCAGGTTGCACTTGTGAGTAGGAGATATGTCCTGCAACCAAAACTTGGAGCTTGATTTTACTTAGCAGAACTTTTCCCTGGATATAGTCCTGCAAGGATGTTGGCTTCTCTTTTAGTTATGTAATTTTTAAGACCATTTCCGTAAAAATCAAGTTCTTGGAAAGCTATGATTCTGAAGGAGTATTGGAAAGTGTTTCTTGCCTGCATGGTTAGTAAAATGTGGCAACTAAAGTCCATTGAGAAACAGTAAAGCCATTGAAAACCAGACTTTACAAACAATTTTTGATTTGTCTCATTTTGGACTTGTCCAGGGATTTTTGGATATTGGGCAATTGAAAAAACTCTCAGTGAATTTGAACGCACACAGCTCCCAGAATTCACTAGAAGAGGATTTTAGTCCAAAATACTAGCTCTCTTTGTGGGAGGGTGGTGCCAGGATGTGAGCCACATGTTGTACATTTAAAGAAATGGACACTCTTGATCAGCCAGGAACAGATACTTGAACTCAAAACCAGAGGAAGGAAAGGACACCAATTCTGAGTATTTTATTTAGACATGTATCTTTCTAAAGTTTATTTTCCACAGAGACTTTTGTTGTTGATCAGTAATCAGGAAGGATCTGGAAACAGTTTCCTGTTAAGGTCTTACAGGTGGGGCTTGGTGCAAGGATGAGGGCACATGGCAGCATTTAACTGAAAATGACCTGACTCCGTTTGGACAGCAGCACTGTGGTGAATCCAGGCCTTGTGTCAAACAGAACAGTCAGTTTAACTAGTGTGAAGCATTCTCCTGCAGGCAGGAGAAGGCAGAGACTGTGCCAGGAGCAGAGAGTAGCCCTCTGCCAAAGGAAAGCTGGAGGCCAAAGGAGACTGTGCAGTTCAAAGAAGTTCGGAATGCTGCTGTCACTGGTTCTGCATTTCTTAGTACTTGAAGGTATTTGCAAGTAAATATTATAAATAATATTTTTTAAAATCCACCCCCAAAGTTAAATTATTTCTTTTACTTCATGCTAACTCTAAAAGCCTCTGCAGAAGGAGTGTAGCCCACTTTTGAAAGGTGGGAGAGTAGCAGTTTAATCCTATTCATGGTAAATCCACTTAGTTTCAACTTGAGGAGATTTTGCACAAGACAGCTCGTTCTCTGGTTACTGAATAAAGTGCCTTGGTGAGACCTCTGCCACGTAAAACATGGAGTGAGAGGTGCTCACTGGTGGAACTGTTGGCTTTTGATGAGAATCATCTCCCTGGCTATGTCTGACTCTGAGAGGGGCACAGTTTAGTCTCAGATTTATCCTTTTGTCTCGCAGAGAGCTGATAAAGTGCCATGACAAGGCTGTCCCTGCCACTGAGATGAGAGATCTGTGATGTTGAAATCAGAACAAGCATCATCCTTTTAGGGCTGTGCTTGGAACAGGACTTAACTGAGAACTGAGTCAGAGCATACAGCCAACACATGCAAATGTCCCTTTGGAACAATTTCAGGCCTTGGTTTCCCAATGATGTTCCAATAAAAGTAGGATTGGTTCCATAAATCATGGGTATATTCAAAACCTCAACAACAAAGTAATTGTAACTGGTTACACCCTGATTTCATCCACTGCAAGTGGCTTGTTTCAGTTCCAGTGAGATTTTATGCCATGACCATAAGAAATCAGGAAATATAGAGAAGTCAGGGATTAAACAAAATTAAGAAATTTTTCTGAACACTTTTCAGTAAAATAAATTTGCTGTCAAGCTGCATTGATACCTGATATTCTCTTTGTTTAATGTATCTGGAAAATGTCATACATTTCAGTTCCCAATATGGCCTGATAAGAAGTGGCAGTAAGGTTGTTTTCAACAATAGAATTGATTACATCTTCCTCTTCAGAAGTGCTTGTATTCATGCCTGTTCTTTGAAAGAGAAAGATCAGGCCCACTGCTTAATATAAGAACCAAGATCTAATGCAGAGCTTAAGGTAGATTTTTTCCCAATTTAGTGGAGTTATGGATACTACTGAAATACTGTCTTATTGTTCAGAGCACAGGACGTGCTGGTCCAGTATCACTCTTATTAAACCAATCACTTCATATAGAAAAAAAGTCATTAGATGCACTTAAAACATTTCTTGAGAGCAGTCAGAGCCAGCCCAGAATTCCCAGTGATGGCTATATGCCTTTGCCACCCAGCAGCAGTGCCAGAGCGCTGCTGAATTTCACTGAAACTGGTCAGTGGTTACCCATGTTTTTGTGATCACTATCTCTCTTGTTGCCAGCAAGCACACTTAGCCCTGGCCCTTGTTTTATGGTAGAAACATGTAATTTTTGTTGGTCTTGGTACATTTTTGAATGTTCCTATAGCCAGTGATGCCAAAGGAATTTCCCAGAGATAATGACAAAGAACAATTGATACACAGGCAGGTGGGTTGGCTGTGCAAAAGAAAAGGGAGAGCTGTTATATGAGTGAGCAAAATGTGTACCCATCCTGTGGTCTAATAGAAGTTACAGCATTCCTTAGGTAGGGGGTCTTTTTATAATTTTTTTTTTAATACTTGTTAATTAAATTAAGAAATGAGTTCTTGAAAAGAAAACTTCTAAAGACCCATCTGGAGGATTCTGGACCTGAAATAGTCCCTAAAGACATGCATATGGAGCATAAGCTCTATGGCTATCAGAAACCACAAGTAACCACACCAGATAATCACAGCCATAAATATATCCCATACTATTTTGAAGTAGAACACCTTTAAACACCTACACAGTGAAACAGCTTTTGCAGCTTTTTTTAAGGAAAGTGAAAGAAAAAAAAAAATCTTCTTCTGTGTCCAAATCATTAGGGAGAATGGATCAGAGGACTTGCCTGGACATCAGGAGTGACCAGGCAGAGCAGGTATGGGGCTCAGCACTCACTGCCTCTGCTTGGTGCTGTCAGCTCAAAGCAGCTTCAGAACCAGTTTGCAGCAACACAGAGACACTTCCCCAGTGGCAGTGTGTAAAAGGGAGCAATTAATAGGAACAGCTAATTCTCGAGAAATTAAAGAAAAATTCAGATTATTTAGATATTAAAAAAAAAAAAAAATTGTGACAAGTTTCCTCTTTGTGCTGTATTTATGCAGGATCTCACTTCACACCTTCAATGAGGATGTTTCCTGCTGCTGAGGTAGAGAGGAGTGTTGCTGGTAGAGGATTTGAGTTGTTGAGCACAGGGATTCTCTGAACAGTTTTCCTTGGCTAATTTTTTTCTATTTATGCAGATTTTTTGGTTGTGGGGTTTTTTTTTGTTTGTTTTTGTTGTGGGTTTTTTTGGGGTTTGAGGTTTTGGTGTTTTTTTTGTTTTTTTGGTTTTTTTTTTTGCTTTATTTCACTGTGAAAGACTGAAGATGCAAACATCATTGCTTGTGACAAGGTTACTAGCTGCCATGTGCTTATTTTGCAACGGTGCTTGATTTATATTAGGAAACAGGGGGATAAGTTACTCCAGGAAAGACCAAATGGCTTTCTGTTTCAGCAGGACATTTCTTCTGCATTAATAATATGCCTCTGGCAGAGCCTCCCTCTTGACCCTGAGCCAAGGCCTTAGTTCAGGTGGATGCCATGTGTGTTCCATGTTCTAGATTAAGCAGGGAACATCCTTTAGGCTTTATCAGCAGTGTGGTTCTCCCCATCAGCTCCAAGGACACCAGAGACTCGTGCCTGGTGATTCAGAAGCTGACAAAGGAGGATATCGCATTTGCCAGTCTCATGTAATTTTGAATATCACAGCACAGAGCTCAGAGCAGTAGGGTGCAAGTCCAGCAGTTTCTATTGTAAGTTTGTGATTTTATCTACTCAGCATGATACTCATGTTTAGATTCACATGTGGGAAGCAGCTGTTGTGTACTGCATCACGTTTTAACAGTGCTGCAAAATCAGAAATCACTGTTCTCTTTTTGGCTGACCCTTTATGTTTCTTTTGCAGAGCCATAGCCCTGCCCCTCAGTACCAAATTGGGTGTGAGAGACAAGCAGAGACCAAAAGCTCAGCCCAACCCCGTGCTGGAAACATTCTATAGTACGCGCTGCAAGAACCCTAAAGAGGTGAGTCCCTTCTTTCTTTGCTTTCCTGTAGAAAATCCCATTTGGAGTCCTGAAGTTTAGCAATGCCGTTGATATCTGGAAGCTCCAGAAAGGAAACGCTGCAGCACTGGTTCCCTGAGAGCAGCCTGCTGTAGGGTGCTCCTGCAGTGCCATCAGCTCTGAGTTCTGCCTCCGAGCAGCGGAGGAAACTGCTCCCGAGAGGAGCAGTGACAGCTCCGGTCCCTGCCTGCCCCACACACAGCACAAGCTGCAGCACTGGTGGCTTTGCCTGAACAGCAGAGACACCTTCTTACTGTGAGCGTGCCCAGGGAGGTTGGGGATTTATATCCTTGGGAAAACTCAAAGCTCTCTGGGCATGGTCCTTGACACCTGGCTCTAGGCAGCTCTGTTTGAGTAGGGCCCATTGGACAAGGTGAGCTCCAGGGTCCCTTCCAACCCCAGCCATTCTGTGATGGCTTCTTTTCATATACTGGCAAATCCTGAATAAAAACCAGCTGCCTTGAGCTCCCACATTGCTAGTCCCTGCAGCTCAGCAAACGTGTCTTGCTTGATCTAGTCCTAGACTGGGTCATTCTGTTGCCATGCAATCCATGAGTTTGAGATTGGCCTTGCAAGAAGCCAGAGTCTTGGCCATCATCACAGAGACTGTGAGGGGCTTCAGAAGCCTGCAAACATAACTGGAGGGTAGTTTCCCCCTGAGGAATAAGAAAAGTGTTTTTCAAGAAATTGGCAAGATGACCCAGAGTTATAATGGCTGTTGCTGATGGGAAAAACCACTAGCAGGATTATGAATTGTCAGGCAATATTAGAATTTAACCTGGTCAGGGAAGTCCCTGAGTGTGAATTCCGTGCTAGGGAAAGCAATCTGATTTTATTTCAGCTTGGTTTTGTAGACTTTCTCTTGGCCTTAAAGCACTTGCTGTGAACCCTTATAGAGGATGGGTGAGTAGGATGCTCACCATGGCTTCCAGTCCCAAGGAACAATCCTGCTCCAAACACATTGCTTCACCAAGGCTGTTGCAGCATGCTTTTGCTGCAGTGGGGCATGAGGAGCCTCAGGACATGCAGTACCAGATTAGAAATAAAGGAAGAGAGGCTAAAATTAAAATGCAGGCATTGATCTGGGTAGTGCAGCCAGCCCATCTCTGCAGCAGTGAGAAGGTGCCGTTTGTCCTGGCTGGATGGTGACAGGGAGGGTGACAGATCCCCCCTCTGAGCCCCACTGAATCCCAGCTACCAGTGACAGCACAGCATGGAGACAAAGAGCAGCACCACGGGTCCTGGGGTAACTTTATTCGATGGTAAAACTTCCCCTCTTCAGTGTCCCAGGACCCCAAACTGGGGGCAGACAGTGACTTATATATGGGGGCAGGTCTCAGGGGAGGATACAATCTTTAACAAATCAGGAGAATTGGGAGTGAAAAACAAGGCAGGGAATATAATGTATAAACCAATAAAGAATTTCAAGGGAGGAGAGCATTTTCAGTGAGCTAATAAAGTCTGGAGAAATACAAAATGGACAGGGAAATTTCTCGAAAGAATGCAGGTTGGGGAAGAAACTGGCATTTAATGAAAGGAAAAGTAAAAAGATTCTGTGAAAAGGGCAGGGACGAAAGGAACAGCATAAGGAAACTACAAAATTGCAAATCAAACAGTAAACATACCAATAAAACAAAAACACACCACAACAGGAAGGAGTGTTCTGAGGGACACTGTCAGTGTGGTTGGCTTTCCTCTTGCCTTTCTGTCCCCAAAATCCAAACACTTCTTACTATAACTGCTTCTATGGCAGAGATCTAACTCAAGACCTGGCTTTGCCAGCAGGTTTTTCCCGCAGCTCTTCTTGCACCCCTGTTGTGCTGAAGTGGTGCTTTTCTCCCAGCAGATCTGGGATACTGGAACAGATCCTCACCATGAGACAGCAGCATGAGGTGGGGCAGGAGCTGCTGCCTGGCTCTCTCCATCACTGGGTACACCTCAGCCCGTCTACTGGCTCCCTTCCCCTCCCAGGAGCTCTCAAACCACTGCTTAAAGGCAGCTTTTACTTGTCCAGTACAATATGAGATTTTACAGTTCTTGGCAGCCATTTCTTGGGAGGAATTCCACATGATGGAGCAGTTGGAAAATGTAAATTAACATCTCCATTTGTCTCCAGAACAGCGCTCATAAAACAGCACATCTGAAAGCAGCATACCTGAAAACTGGTAATCAATTTATTTTTGTACAGCATGCTCAAAGTATGTAGGCCACTCTCACATGATACCAATTCAGGTAAATGCATTCCATGAAAAACTATTGCTTTACTTAAAAAACAAGGTTATCCATGATGACACTTCCAAGTAGGAATATAAAACATGACAAACTCTTAACAGCCTAAGGACAAGAAGGAAGGTAATTGCAGGATTTCTGTGAGTTATATATTGAAGAATTACCCCTAACAGGTTTACCACGAGAGGAGAATATCCAGTAGGAAAATGATGTTGCCTCTGCTCATTACATCCACCATGATACTGCATCAGAATTGCTGAGAGGCATGACAAGATTCAGTGCAGAACCATAAAATATGATTTACACTGCAGTGATCTTTATTGGAGTGACAGATTTGAAGGATTTGGTCCCTGAAGAAACTCAGGGTGAGAAAGTGATTAGGCAACAAACTTGTGAGGAGACAGGACCAGTATGAAACTGGGGAAGTTAACATAAAAAATGAGAAGTTTCAACATTAGTATTTATAACCAATTGATTAGAGGGGAATGGAAAGATTTTCTGCTATCCAAGATCTTTACACTAGGAATGGACAGCTTTCAGAAAGATGCCTTAGCCTGAGCAGACTTAGGCTGGCCAGGGGCTCCAGCTGGGCTCTGTGGTGGGTCAGATAGATATTGCCCTCTCTGAACTTTGAATCTGGATCTGAGCCTGCTGCCTCATCTGTTTTCCAGGGTGAGCTGCTCAGTTTAGCCAAGCAATGTGACCTGCCAGTGAGGAAGGTGGAGAAGTGGTTCCGGCACCGGAGGAACATGGACCGGCCCAGCCTGTCCAAGAAGTTCAGCGAGGCCTGGTGAGCAGGAGCACAGGCCATGAACTCCGTTTTCACTGGAGCTGAGCTCCACAGACAGCTCACTGCCTCCCCCTGCCCTCCATCCCTACACAGAGATCCCAGCTCCCTGTCTGCCCTCCATCCCTACACAGAGATCCCAGCTCCCTGTCTGCCCTCCATCCCTACACAGAGATCCCAGCTCCCTGTCTGCCCTCCATCCCTATGCAGAGAGCATCTTGGCTCTTCCCTGACCCACTTGGCTCTGCTATTACTCTCTGCTGCCTCTCTGTTATGGAAACATTTCTTGTTTTTCCCCCTTACTTGCAATCCTAAGTCTCCTTTTACTGCTGTACCTTTATTCCTTACTGGTCCCTTGTTTCTGAATTTTCCTGACTTTGTCACACTGGCATCCTGCTTTGACACATATTTGAACCTGAAAAACTCTCTGCTCTTTACATCTTAGTGCTTTGCTGCTGCTTCAGTACCTACTAAAAAGGCATCCTTTCTGTTTCCTTCCCCATAGTTTCCCTTTCTGCATAGATTCCTTCTGCTGCACCTTTTCTGCAACTATTTTGCACACTGTTGTTTTCAAAAGCTACAGGCAGCAGGCTGGATTGGATTCTGCTGTCATTTGCCTTCAGCATCTTGAAAGTCACAAACCAGCATCCTTCCACGGGGGTGGAAGTTTGTGAGCAAAGAGCAAAAACTGCCTTGCAAACAGCTGTGTGGAAATCCTCCTTGTTATGTGGAGGCACAAAATAAATCTCAGGACAGACAGATCTGAACGTCAGTCCTGGCTCAGCTTTCCACAGAAAAGGAGGATTCTCCACAGGTTGGTTGGAATGCCTCATTTACAAGGGGCTGCTCTGCTGTTTGTGTAAGGAGTTGGGTTCCCCCAGGAAAGCCACATAAGCAAAAGAAATCATTAAATACCTGGAGTACTATTCATCTGTCTAAAAGTGTGTGTCTGTATCCATAGGCTAGGCATGAACTTCGGGCTCATCAGCATGTGCTCCATTGAACACTCCACCTGTAATTTGAAACCCCTGCCTAAAAACCCTAATTCAAAAAGAAGAAAAGGATGTGTATTATTTATTTATAATATTCCATATAGTTACAAATATTTACAGAAACAGTGAATAAGGAGTTGTAAAGCAACAATGTTTATTCTGCCTCCATCTGGATGAAATACCAGCTCTCCCTGCACTCTGATGACTTGTAGTGAATAGTAACAGTAAGTAGGAAACAGTAAATCCTTTTCTGCCTCAGCCCACTGAGGACAGAGTCCTTCCCCCGCCCTCTGTCGCCATGTGCAGTCTGTAGACAGAACGTCTCTCTGATGTGACAGAGCAGCTTTGCAGAGTTTATTTTTGTCTTGGAATTCCTGGGGCTTTCATTGACAGGTGGAGTCTCTCAAAATGCACTTATGTCTGAATTGTTATGGAGATTTTTTGAAATTAAAGGACTAATTTAGACAGTTTTACTCCTTTTAATATTTCCTGTGGTTCATTTATTAATAACTTGTTTATTTGGTTAGGTTGAAATTCCCCCCATTCCTTACTATATGTGTGAATATTCAGGTGACCTGCCTCTGTCCACTGATCTGGACAAACAGTTTGTATGTACTTCTGTGTGGGTTTAATGTTGGAAAATAATTTCTGACTCCTCAATGAGCCAAACATGACAGTAATTAGCTACGGTGCATGATAACAAATCTAGCAGGCTGGATCTCTAAAGGCCTAGGAGAGATTGGCATTGTTTCACTTTTACAAATGCATCTGCTACTGCTGGGAAGCTTTGGGATTATTCTCATCAGGATTTTAGTCAGCAAGATTCTTGTGTCCTCTGCCATCTCTGCAGCAAAGGAATTGCTCTTTGTGAAGTCTGTGAAATGTGCTGGTAAAATGCAAAGAGCTGCTCCTGTTTTGGTCAAACCTTAAACATACTAACATGTGTCTTTGCCTTAATAGTGTAATTGTTTTAATTAGTGTGAGGATACACAAACTTGCAGCTCAGGGGTTAATTAATGGGATTCTAATGCCCTTTGTTTTGTTTGTTTGCAGCTGGAGATTTACATTTTACATCATTTCTTTCTTCACTGGACTCGCTGTCCTGTATGATGTGAGTACACACGCAGTCACCTGCTGTTCTACCCAGCCTATGCCTTCAAGAATGGCAGAGTTTGTTGTCAAACATGCCTTTTCAGATCTTCTTCTAGAGGTTTTCCTGACAGGTTGGTGTGTATCCCCTGCATAGCACACTTAGGAGACCACAGACATACTGGACTGGGTTTATTTTAAGGACTCCAGAACCAAGTTTCCTCTTCTTCTGGCAAAGCAGAAGGCAGTTGGGATTGTGTAAAAGTAAATTTCTTCAGGGTAGGAGATAGAACACTTACCTAAGCTGGAAGCTGCAGGGCCTGTTTGTGTGTTGTCTCCAATACCTCTTTAAGGTAAATAAATTTGGCTTCCTTTGGAGCATGGACTGCAATTTAATAATTTTATTTGCTAATTTTGTTTTCCTTACCCAGGATGTGATTGATTCAGGCTCATGCCTCAGCCTTTTCTCTAATTTGATAAATAGTGAGTTCTCTTGATACAATTTGTACTGTCTTATCAGGCAGAAGTGCTAAGGGGAGCCATGGGTATGTTCTTGTCCCTGAGCTGGGACTAGGGCACTGGCCATCTGCTGCCTCTGTTTTCAAGGTTCACCTGACTCCTTTGCTGTGTCTGGTTCCCTAGGTGAGCTTTGCAAGTCTTCTGGTCTGGTCTGATGAGTTAAGTGATGCAAAATGTGCACTTCCCAAGGCAGCAGGCACAAACCCTCCTTGTGACCTCTCACTGTAACATGTGAAGGACTTTTAATTTACACAGACTTTCAAGTCAGATTTTAAGGGACTCAAAAGTATGAGGATTAGAGGATGAGCTAGCTGAGGAGTGAAGGTATCTGAACCCCAGCTGCAGTGTTCTGTGGATCTGTACGTCAAAACAGAAGACTGTTCTTTGAGACCAGCTCTTGAAATTTGGTCTGGATGATCTGCTTAGCATTGTACAAGAGCCCTGTAGCAACAAGGGACAAAATCATATTCTTCAGCATGTTGTCTGTCCATTATATGGATGAAATACCATTTTCACTTTTTGTGACCCATGTCTTTATTCAACACACATCTTAAAATTTTCACAAAAAAAGGGAGACATCCATCCTACAGACAGCACCTCTAGATCCTGTAGCAAATATGTTATTCTGCTACCTAAATTGTACTAAAATGACTACTTTAAAAAGAAGGACAAAGAACTAACATGACAGGACATGTATACCTGTGAGATTTTTTGACTTTCACATGTTTACTTTATTACCTGAGTAGCTTTTAAACATGTGTTTGTTGTTGTGAAACTCCCTTCTTTCTTTAGGAAAAAAGCAAGTGTTTAAATTCTGCATTAGTAGTTTTGGACTGATAGCAAAAACCTCTGCCCATAAGTCAGTGAAACAGCCTGTAACAAAGGAAAGTTATCTTCCAGTAGGCCACCAGGAATCAGCTATATTTGCTGATAATAGAGGAATGATGAAATTCAGGGATCTGGAGTTCCTTTGTAGCTTAGGTAAACAGTGTGCCGTAGTTGTTTCATGGTTTTTGCTTTGTGCTTTCTGGTTCAGTACCACACATCTCTCCTGGTTCTGCACATGTATTTGCTGTAAATTCTATTCCCAGCATCACTCCCAGTCAGCAGGGACTCTGTCTGTTCCAAGTTAGCCCTGCACCTAAACCCACTGCCTCCTGCTTTGCCTCTGTATCACCCACACACCAGCAGAGCTCAGTGGGACGAAGAAATGCTGCCTTCTTGCCTCAGCTCTGATATCTGGAGCCCTCTAGAACTTAAAGAAAATTACCGTCATAGGTGTGAGCATCGCTGTGTTCTGTGAGCTCTGGCCCAGCCTGGGCTCAGCTCCAGGCAGAGCATGCTCCATGCAGGGAGGACTCTTGGGGACTTTAGCTGCCATGTTTCTATGAAGGTTTCAAAACTGCCAAGTTCTAAACTACCAATTTATTGAACAGAGTAGGATCTTTTCAGAGGTTCATTACTTAACAAACTGCAGCATAACCTTCACTGTTAAAGAAAAAAACCACTTACCTGACACACCAGTTTTCAACCTTCTATCTACATTTAAGTGTTATTGTCTACATCACAGATACTCCTAATTAAATACTTGTAAGATTATTTTTAAATGCTCAAAACATCACCAACACCTCAAGCGTGTGGAAGACGGCAAAAAGTTGGGAGAGGTCTTCTCTGAGCTATTTTATTAGGAACGGCTAAATAGTGTGTGAGATTTCAGGCAAATAGCCACAATTTAGAAATGTCACAAGCAGATGCGAGTCCTTGTAGTGGAAATCTCTTGGCAATTGGATTCCAGACAGCAAGACCAGCTCTGCCTGTAATAAAACACAACAAAGTCGGTAGCAGTAAGAAACTAAAGGAATTAGAAACTGATAAGAAAAGAGCTCCTCTGATATTCTCACATACATGTTTCATTTTTGTTGCAGAAGCCTTGGCTTTGGGACCATAGAGAGTGCTGGACAGGATATCCACAACAGGTGAGTCACACAAGAAGGAAAATTGCTGTTACAAGTCTTGTATTGTGTTTCTGTATTTTTTGAAAATCAGATTATAATAGTGACAAAAAGAGGACACTGAATTAAATTCAGACTCGGAAGACCTAAGAATTCAAAGTCAGACCCTCATCTGGAGAGAACATCTTTGTACCTGGTATCATCTAATGCAAGAGAAGATGAATTGGCAAAGCACTTTGTCACTATCAAGCGAAAATGAAGACTTATGTTCCAGGGGTTTTGTCTGACAGTCAAAGCTAGAACAAGAAAGAACCCCTTGACTGTATGTGGAGGTTGCAAACCCATAAAGAGAAAAGTAATGCCCAATTCTAACAGTGTGAGGCACAGGAAATGTAACAGGACTAATGACTGAAGATTGAGGCAATGCCTTAGAGGACGAGTCTGAACAATCCAGTATTGCTTGAAGGCAAAAATTTCAGGGGCAAATCTGTAGTTCTGTGTAAAAATTAAACCATACAAACAAGTGGGGCTTGAATAGGAATGTTAGACTGCAAGGATCACTCAGCTCCCTCTGTCTTCTGCTCTGTACACTTGTGGTACATGTCTTGTCAAAAACAAGGGGAGCCTCCATAATGGCACACTGTGATGGACTGACCCTGGCTGGCCACAGTGTGCCCACCAAGCCCATTTTTCTCTCCCCTCCTCAAATGGAAAGGGGGGAGAATATATAGCAAAAGGCTCATGGGTTGAGATAAGGACAGGGAGAGAGCATCCCCGGTTACCATCACAGGTAACACAGGCTTGACTTGGGGAAAAATTATTTTCATTTACTGTTAGTCAAATAAGAGTAGTTTAACCCAAATCTTAAAAGCACCTTCCTGCACCCTTCCCTTCTTCCTGGGCTTAACTTCACCCCCACATTGTCTACCTCCTCCCCTGCACGGTGCAGTGAGATGTGGAGTGGGGGTTGTGCTCAGTCTGTTGCACCTTGGCTCTGCTGCTCCTTCCTCCTGCTCTGGTAGCAGGGTTCTCCAGCGGGAGACAGCTCTCCATGAACCTCTCCACTGCGGGTCCTTTCCACAGGATGCAATCCGTGAGGAATGCACTGCTCCATCGTGGCTCCACCGCAGGTGCTGCCAGGAGCCTGCCCCAGCACTACAGCACAGTCTCCACAGGCTCAGAGCTTCCTCAGGCCACATCCCCCTGCTCTAGTCAGGCTCTAGACCTCCAGGGACTGCAGGTGGATTTCTGCTCCCCGTGGACCTCCGTGGGCTGCAGGGGCACAGCCTGTATCACCATGGCCTGCTGGGGAAACTCTGCTCCAGCACCAGGAGCTCCTCCTCCTCCTCCTCCTCCTGCACTGGCCTGAGGGTCTACAGAGCTGTATCTCATATTCTCACTCCTCTCTCCACACCTCTCTTGTCCAGCAGTTTTTTCCATTCTTAAGTACATTGTCCTCAAGCCACTGCCACTATCATTCATGAGCCAGTGGCAGATCAATCTTGGAGGTGTCTGGGGCTGGCTCTGTTGGACTGGGGCAGCTTCTGGCATCTCACAGAAGCCACCCCTGCCCCCACCCCCCTACCAAAACCTTTCCATGTAAATCGAACACACACCCATTTTCCAACATTTGTAACAACCAGGAAAGACCAAAACCAGGGCTGGTCATATCCCACTGGCAAAAAGCAAGTCAAGGACAAACCTGTGTATTAGCAGGAACAACACACGTGTTAATTACAATTTCTACTAAACAGACCATGCCGTGTGCTACAGACAGTGACAAGAGAAACACCAGTTCTCCCAAACAGTCTGATCTTTGGGGGGGGGGGAAAAAATAGCTTCTGATCCAGAGCTTCTGTTTGGATAACCTGGAGTGTGACCAGCACATACCAGCTAGGGAGATGTTCATGTCCTCCCTGGAAGCCTCAGGGCATCCAGCTGTGCTTCCTCTTGTGGCCAATTGCTGGTGCTACAAAGGAAAACAAACTAAAATTTATGAAGGCCATAAATAACCAGTTGGTATTAGGGAGTACAATACTTCATGTTCCTTTGAAAATGGTTGCAAAGCCCCTTTAGTCATAGTAATTATTTATCAAATAGATTCAGGTTTAAGGAGGTCATATAATGCAACAACAGCAAAAATTGCTTGTTAAGTAATGAGATATTGCTGAGTGAGCTAAGCTTTCCATTTCCCATCTGTAAAAGCCCAGATAATTTACCCAAAAGAATGTGAATTAAATTTCCTGCTGGGGTTGGATTTTCCCCCCATTACTTTAATTAAACTGGAAAATTTGTGACAGAGTGCAGGGTATCTGAAGCATCTTCAAGCCTAAAAAGGGAATGATTCATTCAGCTACTCCTTTTCCACCATAATGAATTGGTTTATGTAGTTTTTAAAACTCTGTACTGTCTGCTCAGAAATCAGAATAATGCTGAAGAAATCCTAAAAATATTCACGATCTTCATGGTGGTTCCCTAAATGTTTGACATGATGTGGTAAAGTTGAATTTCCCCTGCTGTTGACTTCATCTTGGCACAGATGACATTTCATGAGGGAGTGTGTTGTTCAGTTGAACTATTTCCCCCTGTGGCTGCAGGAACCAGCTTTGTTGATTTGCTGTAATATTGGGTTTTCGCTGCCTGTTTTTGGTAGCCGGGGGCTACAGAGGTGGCTTCTGTAAGAAGTTGCCAGAATCCTCCTCCATGTCCAGCAGAGCCAATCCCTGGTGGCTCCAAGTTGAACGTGCCACTGGCCAAGGCTGGGCCAGTTAGAAATAGTGGTAACACCTCTGTGATAACAGATTTAAAAAGAAAGAAAGAAAAAAGAAAAAGTTATTGCACAGTTGTGTTTGCAGACAGAGAGGAGCAGGATGAGAACATGGGAGAGGAACAACTCTGCAGACACCAAGGTCAGTGGAGAAAGAGGGGCAGGAGGTGCTCCAGGTGTGGGAGCTGAGGTTCCTCTGCAGGCTGTGCTGAGGACCAAGGTGAAGCAGCTGTGCCCCTGCAGCCCCTGGGGATCCACGGGGGATGCAGAGATCCACCCACAGCCTGTGGGGATCCACGGGGGATGCAGAGATCCACCCACAGCCTGTGGGGATCCACGGGGGATGCAGAGATCCATCCACAGCCCGTGGGATCCTCAGGGGACGCAGAGATCCACCCACAGCCTGTGGGGATCCACGGGGGATGCAGAGATCCACCCACAGCCCAGTGGAAGAGGAGCCCACACCAGAGTAGGGGGATGCCTGAGAGGAGGCTGTGGCCCCGTGGGAGACCCATGGAGAGAGGAGCCCTGCTCCCGTGTTGGAGCAGCCTGTCCTTGGGGGACTGCACCCCGTGGAAGAGTGACCCACACCGCAGCAGTCTGGGAAGGACTGTTTTCCATGGGATGAACTCATGTTGTGCCAGTTCACAGACAGCTGTTGCCTGTGGGATGGACTCACACTGGAGAAGTTAATGAAGAACTGTTTCCCACAGGAGGGACCCCACAGTGCAGCAGGGGAACCATTCCTCTCCCTGAGCAGCAGGAGAAGCCATGGGTGATGAACTGACCATAACCCCCATTCCCATCTCCTTGCATCACTGGGGTATGAGGTAGAGCTGGGAAGGAGGGAGGAGCAGGGGGAAAGGTGTTTGTTTCTAAGGGCTTATTTCATTTCTCATGATCGTGCTCTGATTTTGTTAGCAATTAACTTAATTCATATCTCTAATTAGAGTCTGTTTTGCCCATGACTATATTTGATAAGCAGTCTGTCCTGGTCCTTAACTCATGAACCCTTTGTTATATTTTCTCTCCTCTGTCCAGCTGTGCAGGGAAGTGACAGAGTGACTTTGGTGGCTGCCTGGCATCCAGGCAGCATCAACCCACTACAGTTGTCTTTTGCCTTGGAAGGAGTTTTCACTTGCAGCCCTTGCACTAATGTATCTGATGGGTGTTTCCCTGTCTCTCCCTCTCTCACAGCCTCTCCAACCCTCCCTGTTCTGGTATTACATGCTGGAGCTCTCCTTCTACTGGTCACTGGTCTTCACCTTGCCCTTTGACGTGAAGAGGAAGGTGAGTGGCAGTCTCAGTGGAGGATCAAGTACAAACAGGACACAAGCTGAACACTTAGGAGAGTGACCTCTAAAAGTATGTGTATAGTGCCAGTCAAGGTTTTGTGGCACTCTCTCCTTGCTCGTTCACAGGAATTTTCATTCCCACTCATTGGCTTTCTCTACTCTGGGAAGTGGAGAACACCAACCCTGATACAGAAAGGTGCAAAGTACTGCAGAGTTCTCAATCCAAATTTAAAATCCAAATATAAAATTGCTCTTCTGTAGCTCTTCTAGGCTGCACTGATCATAGAGACAGGAAAAGAGGTGGTTCTCTGCCAGTGAAACTGCTTGTGTTCCTGGTGCCAGTGTCCCAACAGACAGCGTGCAGCATCAGGCCATGGCTGGTGGAGAGAAAGAATGTTCTTTGTTGTGAGATCCTCAGTTACACCATGATCTCTTAATTCCTGGGTCTCTTGGTTGCCTATATTTCTAGAATGCATTTGGTAAAATAATTACATGGGTAAGATTTGTATTGGGAGGTTTCTTAGTCACTAGGTAGAGAGATATCATTGCTACCTTCAGGAACCACGCTTGGACTGGGGCAGGAGGTGCATTATGTATTCTGTTCTCTGCTGTTCCCCTTCTCATCAGGATTTCAAGGAGCAGATAGTCCATCATGCTGCAACCATCTTCCTGATCAGTTTTTCATACTGTGCCAACTACATCCGCATTGGGACACTGGTGATGGTGATTCATGATGCTTCTGATTGCTTCCTAGAGGTGAGCCAGGCAGAGCCTAATCAGCAATGGTGCTATTCAGTCACAGAATGTCGTCCTAGCTAACATAGGCCAAGCACGGGGGTATTCCACAGTTTCTGCATGCAGGTTGTGTCATACCTGTCTCATTAACCCCCTGGAGTGTGTGCAGATGCTGTCTTGGCTGCTGTTTAATTGTTCTTTCTCCTTCCAGCCAACTAAGATATTCAATTACATGAAGTGGAAAAAAACTTGTGACAGCCTCTTTATGATCTTCTCAGCTGTTTTCCTGATCAGCCGCCTGGTCATTTACCCCTACACGTGAGTCTGCTGCAGTGAGGGGACATGGAGAAGCTGCCTTCTGAGAGACAGGACAATTATCTGGCTGCTGCAGCCTTTGTTCTTTGTCCTGGAGCATGTGTTCCTCCCCTTTGCACATGGGTGCTACATGGCTGCTGCACCTGCCTTGGGGTAGACAGAGCTGCTCTTTGGGTTCACAGAGCACTCCTGGAGCCCTGGGCCAGTGGCTCCATCCCATGTACTTCGGGTGGGGAACTGGTAGCTGGGATAGGTAAAGATGGAAGTGGCTGATCTGAAACTTCCTCTGTGACTACAAATTTCTGGGACTTAATTGTGGCCCTGTTAACAACATGCTTTCCCTCCACTGCAATCCCCTCTGTTTTGCAGAGTGCTTTATAACACCTACTATTACTCCATGGAGATATTCCAACCCTTCTTTGGATACTACTTTGTGAATGTTCTCCTGCTAATTCTGCAGCTGCTCCATATCTTCTGGTCCTGCCTAATTATTCACATGGTCTACAAGTTCATCCTCCAGGGCACGGTATGCATCAGTTTGTACTATCCTTTACATCACACGGGGAGGGAGGGTCCACCTAGACTGCTTGAGAATACAGGGGTCCATCTGGCATGGATTCCTTATTGTTCTATTGAATTTATACATGCATGTTTCCAACAGTGAGGTGGAAGGAAACTCAGTTATATTAGGGAAAGTTGACCAAAAAAATTTTTATCAATCGCTACAATATTGCGTCCACTTCTGAAGCTTATATTCAACAAAAATATGGATTGGACTCTAGGAGAGATGTCTGTGAACAATGCCAGTGACATCTGAGTAAAAATCCCAACGCTTTGTGCAGAGTGATTTGCATTTGTAACAAGAGTGAGAAATCAAGGAAGAGGGAATTGTCATGATTGGTGAGGTCAGTGCAGAAGTGTTTCCCTTATTGTACAGAATTTTTGATTACAATTGTGTTACTGTGCTGTAGATTTCACACAGTAGGTATTGCTGTCTAAACCAGCTGCCTGGGCTCTTCTTCCAGCAGTGGAGGGCAACAGGCATGCCCAAATTATGATCCATTCCATACTTCACCTGGCAGTGCTGCTCAACAGGCACAGAGCAGCCAGAGATGAGTATCTGAGCTGCAGCTGTACAAACTGAAATGGAATGCATCCCACATCCCACTCTTTCTGGCCTGTAGTATTTGCTGTGAGACCAAAGTGCTGCTCAGCATGAAATTCTTCCCAGAATCAAAGCTGTGACTGGCCACATGCCAAGGATGCAGTCCAAAGGTGACCAGTCAGTGCCTTGTGGGAAGTGACCTCAGAGCCCAGGATGATTTGTTTCATTAGTATCCAACTGAGGAATTCTGTCTTACAGGAACTGAGAGCAATCATTAAAGGCTCCTCTTTATCCTGATTGTTCCCATTTTCTTTATCTGCCTTCTCTTAAGGCAGCACAGAGCAAATTACTTGCAGATCAGGAAACAGGGCTGGAAATGAAGACACAACTTTTTTATTGTTTTCCTAGTTTTTGTGGGGGCTGAATTACCACTGCAGTTACTGTAGTGTAAAATGATAAGGTAATAAATAGTCTTATCAGAAAGCAAAAAACCATCAGGGAAGAAAATCCTGAAGCATATCCAGAATTTTTCCTATTTTATCTAAAATGGATATGCCAGATTTGATATAAAAATATATTTGAAAACTTTACTGCTCAGTAAAAAGCACAAAAGATTTGTCCTAAACAGATCTGTTTCAATGACCAAAGCAATATCAGCAAGCATACAGGACATTCTCTCTTTGACAATCATGAAACTTTTGCTGCAATCAGTTCATGTTCTTCTTGTGGGCCTTTCTGGTCTCCACGGTTTTCCTCTCTGGCTACAGGATAATCTTTACCACCTTCTCACATGATGTTTCCTAATCCCAAGTAATTAGAACTCAGCCTAGATCCTGAAGTACAAGTTTCATTCCCTCATAGAAGGAGCAGCTTTGTAGTTCCTTTGGGAATCTTGCCAGATTTAAGGCCTCAGTCACATTCTCTGGCTATAAATGGATATATTTAGAAATATTGACTACAATTTGTCCTTATGCTGCAGGTCCAGACTCCTGTATATTTCCTGATCTGTCAGTTCCAGAGTGATCCAAGGTGCAGGTTGTTCACAGCAGATACTATCTCCCACCCATATTGTCCTTGGAGGCAGATTGAATTCAGTGCAAATTTAGATTTTTACAAGTCCTGTCTGCATCTGGTTGTAGTGATCTCTGGAAAGAGCATGAGCTGAAATAGAGTTCTCAATATGATATGGGAGATCTCAAGAAGAATGGACAGCCATAAACAGAGACTAAATTTCTGGGCAGCACCTGATTTTCCCCTGAGCAGTTTCTAAAGCTGAGGTCACAGAAGGGGTTTGCAGCTTTCCTTCTGCCCAACAAGGAGTGTGACACTGAGTTTGTCCCCAGTATTGGCATCTTATGTGGCAGAGTAGAGACAGCCTGAGAAGCCAGGAAGTGCTGAGCTGCTTTTTTCTAAGCTGTCATTTTATCCCATTATTTCCTTTTTGCCTTCCTTTTAAGGCAGTTAATTAGATACTTACAAAAGTGGATTACAGGTTTCTCAGTCAATAAACAGCAAGAGGAAAAGCCTGACCATAAAACTGAATGTAGTCAGAGTGGAGTGGCTTTGCGTTAAGCCTTTGGGAAGCATGTTTCCAGCCTGTTCCAGGTGTTGTCAGCCTGCAGCCACCCAGGCCATGTAGGCAGAAGTTAGCTCCTTGTCCCTTTTGGAAAGTGTAAAAGAGCTTAATTAACTGCCTACCCCATCCTTCTCCCTCATGCTGATGAGCAGGGCAGCAATGTGGATCTCCTCAGGCTTACACAGCTGTCTTCAGTCCTGGGCATTTGTGGTTTTGTACTGCTTTGCAGCCTGTAATTCCTAATTTCAGGAATTATGTATATCAGGAATATGTATCAGGATCACAGATGAGATTCCATGAGACTGAAAGCAAAGAGGCAAGGAGAACATGTTCCCAAGGGTAACGTAAAAGCTGAAGGGACAGAGCAGGACTGTGCTGAGTGGTTGAGGCAGCAGGTGCGTGGTCAGCCTGTGGCTCAGCATCACTGCTGCTTGTGAAAACTGCTGCGTTTATCTGGCTTCTCACTCACCTGCCTTTGCAGATGGAAAAGGACATGAGAAGTGACACAGAAGAAAGTGACAAGGATGAAGAAAGAGATAAAATTAGAGAAAAGGAGAAAAATGGGATCACGTGTTTCAGCAATGTCACAAGCAACGGTTACATCCAGAGGAATGGATCTGAGCCCCTGGACAACAGAGCCCATCATGCCAATGGCCATGCCAAGGAGAGATAGCTGCTGTCCTGTGCTGCTGGCCTGGCCTCCAGCAACCCCAGGCCACCATCTGTAGAAACAGTTTTGCTCACTGTGTAGATAAACTGGAGTGCAATTGCAGTATTGTAGCTTAATTCCTGCTTCCCATAAACCAAAGTGTTTATAGTCAATGAATATTTGAAGGAAGTTTTTTGTCTTCCTTCAGTAAAAGCTTACTATAGGTAGCCTCAAAACAGATAGTAAGGGATCAAAGTGGTTTGACTTGTATTAAGACTGTACCATAATTGTTGTCAAGTGTGTTAATCTTGAAAAATACTTTAAAAATAAGAAGGTGGATTAACTCCTGCAGCGTCAAGTTTTACCCACCTGATGTTTGATAGGAATCTGTTTAGCCTGGATCAGCCTCTGGATTATTATTATGGCTGACAAGTGACAAATCTTACCACTGGGTAAGATTTGTTCTGAGAAAACAAGTGCCCTGTATACACTTACAAAATAAAAACTGAGCATAGTGAAATGAAAGTTTTTGGAAAGGCATAAGATAAAACATGTTCTTCTCAAAGGAAGTACTCTTTGTGCCAGTAACCAGTTTTGTAATGGTATGGATCTCAGTCCCTACTTATTGCCCCTAAGGAGGGAACTCCAAAGCCCAGGCTGGAGAGTCCCCACACAAATCACATTGGAAGAGCTGGGAGATCCAGTCAGCTGTTTCTCAACACTTAGGTGTTGGACTCGTTGATTCTTGTGGGTCTCTTCCAACACATAATATTCTGTAATTCTGTGATAATTGGAAGTTGGAAGCACATGTTCTGTACGCTGCGATTTGAGTGTATGATCTCACCTCTCTGCAGGTGCTGTGCTCAGGAGGGATATTGAAATGACTCATCATTTTGTACTACTGAATGTAAATGTTCTTTATAAATTACTTTTAAAGGTTTGATCATCTGGTCTCTTTTCTACTTATTTAACCAGCAGGAGGTAAACCTGGCTGGCTGCACCTTACAGGTGGATGTGTGATGAGGGAGACCCATGTGGGTGCCATTGCCAGGGGGAAGATGTTGCCCGCACAGGACACACAGCCACACTGAGCCATGCCAGTAAAGACCTGCAGCTGCCTGGTTTGTCTCCTGCTCAGTAAGACTGTGTTTGGCCCTGGAATAAAGGACAATGTGGGACACCCCTACACTAGACCTAGGGGCAGGTCAGGTTGCTTGGTACTGCCAGGACAATGGCAAGTCCAAGATGGCAACACTGGGGTGGTGCTTTGGCCTTGCAAGGGTAGAAGGAGAGAAATTAATATCTATTCTTCTTTTTTTGTAAGGTTTTAGGAGGCTAGGGAAGATACCTGTTGTAAAATCACATCACCTCTCCTCTGAGGAGCAGAATACTTCCCAGACTCTGCATAATGCCTAATGGAGCCAGTGTATGTTAATGCCTGCTGGATTTGATCCTCAGGGCTTTGTGGTGTCCCTGAAGATTGAGATAAGCTTGTTAGGAGGCAAATCTGGTTGTTGTGAAAGATACATCAATGATACAGGAGAGTTGTTGGATTTGAGCAATTACTGAGTGCTGCCTTTAGCAGAGCATAACAGTGATGAGTCATTGAGGCAGATCAGCTGATGAATTTGTTTTCTCACATCAACTTGCTAAGGCTTGAAGAAGCATTCAGCTTCCTCCCTGCACTGCTTGACCTTCTCTCTTTGTTTGCTCCAGGGCTGGGAAGCTTCTGAGTAGTGTGATAGTGTTTAAGAATTTAGTGTATCCATCCCCTCCTCTCCTCACACATGGGGCATCACAGCTCCCCCCACAGAACAGCTGTTGTAGAAAACTTGCAGCAAGTCTGTCACTTGTCTGCTGAGAAACCCAGAAGAGCATATCATGGAACCACCAAATCCATTAGATTAGGGAAGGGCTCTGAGATCATCAAGTACAGCCTGTGACCAGTCACCACTTTGTTAATCAAGGCAGAGTCCAGTCACTTCTTAATTACCTCCAGGGACAGTGATTCCACCACCTCCCTGGGCAACCCATTCCAATGTTTAACAACCCCTTCCATGAAAAAATTCTTCTTGATTTCCAACCCATACCTCCCCTGGCATGGCTTGAGTCCTCTGTTCCTATCACTTGTTACCAGGGAGTAGAGCCCAATTCCCACCTGGCTGCACCCTCCTGTTAGGGAGTTGTAGAGAATAAGAAGATCACCCTGAGCCTCCTTTTTTCCAGGCTGAGCCCCTCCAGCTCCCTCAGCTTCTCCTCACTCCCTAATGGAGAGTTCTATTAAAAAATAATTTAATGTAATCACTATAAAGCTTTGTCAGATTAATTATTAAATGCTAATGAGCTCATTTTTGTATTAATTTTCATCACAGTTTATAAACCTTAACTCTTGTCATGTTATTTGGAATTTATGCAGAAAATGAGAATGATGGAATTGATGCCTTCAAGCCTGTGAGTGCCACTTCAACAGCTGAATGGTTTACTGACATTATGGAGTGAACCATGTGGCTGTTTCTTTATCTTTACAAGCTGAAACATCTTTTATCTTCAGGTTTTCCATCGGTAGCTGATAATTACAAGCTAAAGTAGTATCAGAGATGAAAAAAATGTATTTAACTTTTATAGCCAGATATTACATCTCATTGTGTACAGCTGGCAAAACTTAACCAGGGAGAGGCTGTGCTTATTTCTGAACCTGCATTTAGATATGTCTGAATTGGAGTTTTAAAATGGCCAAAACAATCTGGGAGTTCACAAATGCAAACAGAGTTGATACTTTTTTTTTTTTCAAATAAAGGTGTACTTTGGGCAAAGGCAGACAGGCAGAAGCAGGCCCTGGGAGCCGAGCTCCTCCTCCCTCACAGGGAATGACAGCTTCCAAAGGGCTCAGTCCTTCCTCCCTGCTGTTTTCCAGGAGGAGCTGGTTGCACTAGCCAAGCAAAGTGACCTTCCCATCAGAAAGGTGGAGACCTGGGTCAGGCACTGGCGGGCCCAGGACCACCCCAGGCTGATGAAGAAGTTCTGTGAGGCCAGGTAGCTGGGTTAGCTTTTGGTGATGGAGACCTCTGACAGGTCTGCACATCATCAATACCCTCTGTCCTGTCCTTACCCCAAACACACTCCCAGGGAGCTGCTGTGGCTGCGGCAGAGCCTCTGTCCCTCGAGGCTCGGTCCCCTTACTGCACCCAGAGCCACGCTGCAGCACAGCCAGCTCCCACCCTCCCTTCCCATTTCTACCTTTGAAAAGTTAAATTTGCTTCAACAGAGTCTACTGGCCTTGATGGAGAACAGGTTTAAATCTCAGATGCTCAGAGGGATTTTGAACACCAAAGCCACTTGTAAAATGTGTTAAACTTATTTTCAAAGATGATCTTGATACACACATAAAATTTTAAGATATTGTCAGCATGGATGGTTGGGCAGAAAATGAATTCATGAAGTGCAGTTAGGAGGCAGTGCAAGCCATGAAAGAGGGAGGTTAAAACTGAACAACACAAGAAAGCACCAAAATCTTCACAGCTTTCCTTTTCCCTAAGTTGTTTTGCTTTCTTATATTAAATCTTGCTGCATATCTTAGTAACACACTCAGTCAGGGTGGAGAGAGGAGTCACCAAGTGTCTTGATCAAGAGAATCAAGTTATCTCTGGTTCTCACCTTGAGGTTTAATGCTATATGTACATAAAGACCCCCATCAGGTAAGAGATCTACTCCTCTTCCCCCTATGAAAAAGAAATTATTCAGTGCTTGAATCATGTTATGTTTTGAAAAATGTATTCACCTGAAAGCTTGTGGAGTGCTTCCTACTGCAGCATTTCTGAAGACAGTAATAAAATCCCCAGTATTCCTGTGCCATCACTGAAAAAGATTCGGTGTGGCAGTGGGTGTTAGTAGGAGTTT